TACTTGAACAGGCAGGGGGGCACGAGGTCCCCGAGGCTGATGGAATTGGCAGGAACCCTCCTGACCTGGGCAGAGAGGAACCTAGAGTCCATCACTGCGGTGCATCTAAAAGGGAATCTGAACCAGTTGGCGGACCAGTTGAGTCGGAAAGAGGTCACCCAGACAGAATGGTGCCTCAGCCGTTCAGCATTCAATCAAATATGCGCCAGATGGGGCACCCCCTCTACGGATCTCTTCGCCAACAGCCAAAATGTGAAGCTGGAGAGATACTTCTGCCTGCAGAAGGACCCCAGGAGTGCAGGGATAGACGCGCTAGCCCAGCATTGGGAAGGAAACCTCCTCTATGCCTTTCCTCCGTTCAGATTATTACCAAAGGTGGTACAGAAGATCCAGTCATCTCAAGCCACGGTCATCCTGATTGCACCATTTTGGCCCAAAAGATCATGGTTCTCCCGGCTGAGGGAACTAAGCTTAACAGACCCATGGATGATACACCTTCACACGATTTACTTGCCCAAGGGGGAGTGCTACATCCTCACCCAGAAAGGCTGTCCTTAGCAGCGTGGCTTCTGAACGGGACAGGCTAGTGGAGAAGGGGACTGTCTGAAAGAGTGGTCGCCACCATCTTGGACGGAAGGAAGAAATCGACAAACGCCATATATGATAAAGTCTGGAAGAAATTTTCCGCCTGGAAGGACAGGAACGAGGCACTGGGGGCCCCCATCTTGCATACAGTGCTTGAATTCCTCCAAGCGGGGCGGATAAGAACCTGGCTGCCAATAACCTTAAAGTGCAGGTAGCGGCTTTGTTAAACTTTCTGGAGTTGAGGTTGGCGGCAGACCCGCTGATAATTAGGTTCCTGAAGGCTATCTCCAGGCGCCGAGCATCGAAGTACCCCACATGGGACCTGGGCACAGTCCTAAAGAGCTTTCAGCAAGGGCCTTTCGAACCACTGGAGGAATGTTCCCTCAGATTTCTAACTCTGAAAACCACCCTCCTTATAGCATTAGTTTCCACTCGCAGAGTCAGCGAATTGCAGGCTCTAATCAGTAATCGAACCATACTGAGCGGTCCTGTTGGACAGAATCATCCTCCGCACAGATGCGGCATTTCTACCTAAGGTCGCGTCACATTTCCATAGGTCACAGGAAATAATAATACCTTCCCTTAATGGCATCCCAGGCAGCACGGAAGAGGGGGACTATAGCAAAATCGATGTGAGAAGATTTTTGATTGCATACATCGAACGCACAAAAACATGGAGACGTCCCGTCTTTTCATCCTATTCCAGGGTCAAAAGTAGGGGGGACAGTGCCTCCAAAGGCACCAAAAGCACACATCGCGGCCTCCTGGGCGGAAAAGGCGGGGGCCTCCCCTGGACAGATCTGCAGAGCCGCAACGTGGTCCAGTTTCACCACCTTTGCTAAGCACTATAGATTGGATCTGATTGGCAGCAAGAACCAGGCGTTCGGCAGGAAGGTCCTACAAGCAAGGGGCCCACCCTAATGTATGTATTTCTATTCAACTCCTCTCAAGTGAAGCTGTCCTAGAAGATGACTCGGGAAAACGCAGTTATTTACCTGTTAACTGTATTTCCAGGAATCTTCTAGGACAGCGTAACTCACTCCCGATTGCTGTGTGATTATGTACTGATGTCTAGGTATGTTATGAACCTGTGATGGATTGTCTATTACCATTTCTCTTTTATGCTTTCTCCTAGGCCTTCGGTCATATTCTTATACTGAGGGCCCACTGGGAGAGAGGGGAAAAGGTGGAGCGGGTGTTTCCTGGCAGGAGCCCTATCTCTCAAGTGAAGCTGTCCTAGAAGATTCCTGGAAATACGCGTTGATGAGGCGGCACTGATAGGCTGCACTAATGAGATGGCACGGGTAGGCGGCACTGATGATGGGTAATAATAGGCGGCACTGGCTGCACTGCACTGATGGGTGGCACTGCTGGGCACTGATCATCAGTGCCCTAATGATTTGTGTCGATCCCTGCTCTGACAACTGCTGTTTCTCGACAGTACTTTCTCCACAATCTGACAGCGTGAGGAAAGTGCAGTCGAGAACCGGCAATTGCATTTCCCGGTGATCAGCGTGTCATTGGACACGGCTGATCACGTGGTAAAAAGCCGCTGTGATTGGCCTTTTACCACATCACGTGATCAGCTGTGTCCTAAGGACACAGCGATCACGGAGGTCGCCGGGGGTGCACAGGAGAGCATGTTCTGGGTGGACGTCATATGATGCCCTCCCAGAACTGGCCGTACGCATTGTAGCCGTCATTCGGCTATCTGCGGTTGGAAACTAGTTAACCAGCTAGACCTTCATGTTTAATCTTTGCAGATATGTACATGTATACTGCGTATAATGCATTGCAGTCTACAATGTGTTGGTGTACAGTGCGCAATGTGTTGCTGTATACTGCATTACAGTGCATTAGTGTGCAATGCATTGTAAATGCCATTACAGTGTACAGTGCATTGCAGTCTACGTGTTGGTGTACGTGGTATTACAGTGCATTACAATGTGTAATGCGTTGTACAGTGCAGTGTGCACTAATGCATTTTACACTACTGCACTGTACACAATAACGCATTTGACATTTTTAGCGTGCAATGCGTTAGTGTGTAATGCCTTTGACAGTACACTGCATTTGCAATATTGGTGATCTGATTTTAGTTTTCAGGGAGAAGTCTTCTCTGTCCCCCTATTTATGAGGTGGAGGACATTTGTTTTCACAAGAAGAGAGGAGACTTTTTTTCAAGGAGATGTGTATAGATTTCCAGAGATCTGTGTAGATGGTTGAGAGGCTGCATGTGATCTCCTGAGATAATTGTGAATATCGATCACCTGAGTTAAACCAGTGAAAGAAAAGTAAAAAAAAACATGGAATAAAAATAATAAGCACTGACCACTGTGCTTTGGTAAAGCCATATTTTGGCACATTCTGATTTCACACATGCAGTGTGGAATTTGCAGTGATTTCTGTGCAAACGCAGCACCGCATCACAACCGCAACCCCATCATGTCACCTGCTGTGGCTTTGTATGTGAACTTAACAACACACCAAAATTGGTCCACAAAGCGTATTGTGATGTGCCAAATCGGATTGCATGCCTATTCACACCCATGTGCATACCCTGAAAAAAGGGTTCTGCACCTTTTTGGCCCGGATGCGGTGCAATTTGAGTTGTGCAAAATGTATGTCTCAAATTGCAACGCACACAAATTGCATGTGATTTGCCCAGGAGTGTGGTTCCTGTCCAAATGACATGTGTTATACCACAATGCATGTATGTGAAGCCAGAATAAAAACGTGCATTTTGTCTACTTTTATTTGCGAATGTTAACATTATGTAAGTGCATTTTTCTTCTGTTTAACAAGCTGTAGAAATGGAACATGCATTTGGATGTAGTGTTTTTGTATTTTGTGCTGTAAAGTACAATTAAAGTGGATTTACACTCAACCTATCAAAAAATAACAGTCATCAGCTACAAAAACTGTAGTTGCTGACGTTTAAAAAGCAGCCACTTACCTTTCCCTATGTCCCGTGGTGTGTACTCCGCAGCTCCTGTCACCGGCTGTCCTGGTTTCCAGGAGTATGGCATCTTCACTGTGGGCACCCGGCTGTGACAGCTTGCGGCTTCACAGCTGGCTACCCACTGTGCATGTGCAAGTGTGCATGCGCTTCGTGAATGGGCACATGTCCCAAAAGACTACAAGGAGGGAGGACACCTTCCGTTTCCAAACGTCTAGGCGATCGTACCGGAAGTAGGAGCGCGTACCTTCCCCAAGGGTGCCAATCCTTAACGGGGAATGGGGGAGCAGTCCTTAAAGCGGAACTTCCCCTTTTGGATGGAGCTCCGCTTTAAGATGATTTCCTATGGGACATGTTTACACGTGCATTTTCACATGGCTTGTTTTTTTTTGGAAAAGGTCAGAGCCTTTTTGGAACTGCAAAAGTGTAATGTTTTTGTCAAAATACTTAAATGGAAACACTGCAGACAAGAACGTATTTCATGTTGTCTGCGTTTTGCCGTTTGAAATCTGCCGAACAAAAATGAAAACAATAAGGCAGAAAAAAAACAAAAAAACTTGTGTCAAAAAACAAGTGCAAAAACACAATGCAGAGACGGCTACAACACAACCTGTGTTGCCTTAGGCACTTGAGCGCACACTTGGCCACAGGTGATTTTACCAGGCGTGTTTTGGGTCAAAGAATGTGTTTGCATTTGTGGAAAATGTATTTTTGTTTTAATTTTTGGTGTTGTTTTTTACGCATACTTTGGCAAACTGCACATCTGCATTCAACTTTGTGGTGAAAATTAACCAAATAATGTACTGGCCAAAATGACATGCATTTAGCATGTGTTGCCAGAACACACACAAAAATGCTGTTACAAAATAATCCAAAATACAGGCTCAAACAAGACAAACATGCACATCCAAATTTCAAACATTTTACAAAACATATCTGATGACCAAAAAGCTCCAAAAATGTTGATTACAAAATACACCACAATGAGCATTAAAATGTCCAACAAAGCAAAAATTGCCCTTTTGTGCCCATGGAGTGTTGTGTTTTTTTTCAATGCTCATTTAGGTGCGTGCCTAGCATATTTGTTAAATGCTAAAATGTGCAGCAAAATGCATGTTTGCTAACAGCACTTGGGGTGCCATTAACAATGAATGGCACCCAAAAGCACAATGCGTATTTAAAGATTATTTGAGCACAATTTAGAAGTGCAGCAACAATTGTGCAATTCTTCCAATTGTGCATTGCTCAGGTGAGAATGCATTGAACATAAATACATACAATTATACTGTATGTATGTATGTGTATACACACACACACATATGTAGATATAGTTCATGTTTTAGCTTGCCTTTTGGGACAATTATCCCCTGCTTTGTGTGGGATATTTTGTATGTTTGATTACACAAACCTCTCACATTTAAATTCTTGACCTTTTTTTGTCATCCACAAAATACTACTGTTACGCAAGTATGACGGTGGCTGCTCCAATTTTGCCAAGCAGACCATCCTGTGCCACATCAAACATCGGCTGTGGCAGAGATTCCACCACCGCTCCACTGTGCTACAAATGCAGCACAGTTGGAGCGATGTGAAGCGGCGCAACCCACAATTTTTTTTTAAAAAAGTTGCCCGCCAAATCTCTGGTAAGTCAAGTTGTTATTAAAAACTTTACTTTCATTTTTGTATTGTGAAAAATGTTTTGCTACATTCATTCTGAATTTGGCAATAATGTCTTTGTTGACTTGTTCTAGCCACAGCTGATGGGCGTCAGGCGGTGGTCTGCTTGGCAAAAAAGCCACACAGGAGGAAAGCCACCATCCTCTTTTGCCGGCCACAGGCGAAGCATCCCCTGCGCAGACTCCACATTGTGGAAGGTAAGCACAAGCTCTGGAAGCTTGGACCTCATGACCTTGCCATTGTTGGCATCTCCACACTGATCTCCAGTGACTGTCAATTGTACATTAATGCCACACACATTGCTTGTAAATGACATAACTGTGACGGAAGCGTAGGCAGGACAGAACACACACGGAGGATGCTAAACACACCAAGCTTTATTGTTATATGGAAAGCACTCAATCAGGGTAGGAATTTAGCATCTGGGTACCCAAAAAGGGGGAGGAGAAGGGAATTAGCTCAAAACAATTGGAATTCAGCCCACTATAGGGCAAATTGTGTAGCGATGGGCCAAGCAAGTATTAATCCAAGCAGGCAACTCCGGCAAAAGTAATAGGGAGGTTCAATAGGGCAATCCAGGCAAAAAATGTATGAGAGCTCCACGGGACAGTCCAGGCAGGGGAAAATCAGGGGGGGTTGGTAGTTCAGACAGGAGGTGTCAGGGTCCGCCGCGGCGTCCGATCCGGCGCATGCGCAGTTTTGCGGCTCGTGCAAGGATACGGACGCTAGGTCCTGGCCGACCGCGGCGGAGGGGACCTCGCGCATGCGCACTAGGTGCCGCGGGTGCGCGCCGGGCACCAATGACAGCGCAGGGCGCAGTATTTAAAGATGCCCTGTGCTGACACTGGTTGCCGTGATTTGCTGCCTTCTCCTACCCTGGCTTGCCTGACCGCTCTTTTGGATTACCCTTATTGGATTGAAAAATCTGGTATTGACCCTGTGTGTGACCCGACTCTCCTCTGCCTGCCGCCTTGTACCTCACTGCTCCTACGGTAACGACCTGGCCTGTCTGACCACGAAACATCCATCCATCCTGCTCGGGCCTGTTGGCCTCTTCTCATCAGGCTCTCCTCTTGTAGATATTCCCTGTGGGACCCTCTGCCACGGGTGGGAGTGCTCAGAGGTCGTGACCTGGTCCTGGTCTGCTCCAAGTCCAAGACCCCACGCTCTGGGAAATCCTCTCTGGTGGACTGCCAGAGGTACCACCAGGTGGATCATAACAGTACCTAACGGCCATGACAGAGCCTGGAAGAGGACCATGAATTAGTATATATATATAAATAAATATATAATACCCCTGCGCTATTAGAAAAAAATATATAATAAGCAGCCGGCACTTGGGTGTCCCAACCCAGGCACCAAATACAGTCAAAGGATTACAGATATAAAAGTGCAGCGCTATAAGTCCCTCATCCACAAAAATGTACTATATGAAAAATATCTCATACCATATGGAGACCTAACCATCCACAAAATTACCCGCATCCTAGAGCACATTACCACCCTAGAATGAATCAAGGGTACTATCCTGGTGATAGACCATATAGACAAGATTATAGACCACCTAATAGAAATCAAGAGTATGATTGGAATGAGAGAAATTATTACCATCAGGGTGTGAGAGAAGTCCAATACCAATGTCCAACCGGTTTGAACCATTACAGTATAATCACCCACAGCAAGGTTTTTTAGAGAGGGACAGAGGGGAGAGGAGCCCAGGAAGGGAAAGAAGGAAAAGCCCCCCAAGAGGAGGAGGGGGTGTAGAGCAGGAACAAAAGCACAAAAGAAAAAGAGCAATAGGGAGGGGAGTATTCAACCTAAGCGGGGTAGATTTGTCACGGGAAGTTTTGGATAAAGGCCTTAAATACGCCCCTTCCAAAGCCGCTAATAAATTTGATATCTATATAGATATGCTTAAATTCACGAGGAAATTAAATATTAAAAAGTACTTCTTAGGAATCCCTAGTATAACAAATGCTACAAATCAAACATCTAGTATAATTACTCATACAAATTTGAGGAACAAGTCACTTTTCAACCTGCAGATCTCTAGGAATAATCAAATAGAAGCTTTCAAAAAGATGACCCAGCAGGATATCGAGAAACTTAAAATTGCACATACCCCTAAAAATAGTATGGTCCAAGTAGGTATGAAAAAATTGATGCAGAGAGATAATATAGTGATAAGGCCGGCGGTCAAAGGGGGAGGAATTGTGGTCCTTTCAAAAGAACATTTACAGGAACTAAATTCCCAACTAAGGGATACTACCACATATAAGATACTCCAGAAAGACCCCACGATGCTTTATAAAAAAGAACTAAAGAAGTTAATAAAAGAAGGATCGGTAAGCAAAATTCTAAATAAAAAGGATACATGCAGGGTTCCAGTTATATATCTAGTCCCTAAAATACATAAAGATTTGGAAAACCCGCCAGGGAGACCGATAGTCAATGGTATCGACTCCGTCCTGGCCCGGCTGGGTCAATACATTGATACGTTTTTGCAACCATTGGTGAAAGATACACCAGCCTACCTTAGAGATACCAAACATCTTATCCAAATAATAGATAGGATCCAGCATAGTCCATAATTGTGTTTAGCGTGTGCTGACGTTTCGTCACTTTACACCATTATTAACCATAAGGACGCCATAACCTCTACTAGGTGGGGTTTGGAACAATTTAGTACACTACAATGGAAACAACAAAAATATATCATTGACTGCCTTGATTTTTGTATAACGCATAACTATTTTTGGCATGACCATCAATACTTTCAGCAAATCAGAAGGGTTGCCATGGGGGCTCGATATGCCCCTACTGTAGCTAATCTTTTTATGGCTCATTGGGAACAGGAGGCCGTCCATTACCAACCCCCTAGCCAATTACTATACAAGAGGTTCATTGACAATGTAATTATCCTATGGGAAGGAGATATAGACACTTTACAGCTATTTCTAAACACCCTCAATAGTAATGATAAGAACATAAAATTCTCCTGGGTGACTAGCAAAGAATCGATCAACTTTTTGGATTTGAATATTGAAATAAGGGGGATCCATCTGGTTACAACTACATACTTTAAGGGAGTTGATCGCAACGGATATATTCCGTTGGACAGCTGTCACTACCCGCAATGGCTGCTTAATATTATCCCTAGGGGACAATTTGTTCGGTTACGGAGAAACTGCACTAGGAAAGAGGACTATGACCAACAAGTTAAGATCCTTGGCAAAAGATTTGAAGAGAAAGGGTATAAAAAAGGAATCTATTGCCGCCACTAAAGAGGAGGTAGGAAAAATAGAGAGAACCCAATTATTGATGGACAAACAGAGAAAAGAAAAAGAAAAATCTGAGGAACAGGTACCAATTATCCTTGATTTCAACACACAATATAAAAAAAGTGGAGACATTTTTTTTTTTTTTTTTTTGAATATTGGCCTATATTGAGAACAGATCCAACTTTGGAAAAGTATCTATCGGAAAAACCGAAATTTATATATAGAAGGGCCCCAACTACTAGACTGCAACTGGTAAAGAATGTAATCGACCCCCCTAAGCTAAAACAGCAAACCACAGTACTTGACCTAAAGGGATTTTATCCCTGTAAGACATGCTATGCATGTAGGGAGACGAAAGGTATAAATACAAGGAAAAAAACAGTTCCAGGCAAATAACACAGGGATTACATATACCATAAAGGATTTTATTTCATGCCAGACAAAGGGAGTGGTATATTGCCTGGAGTGCAAATGTGGATTACAGTATGTGGGGGAGGACAAAGAGACCAATGTGGAAGAGAATAAGGGAGCATGTGCAAAACATAAAAAAGGGGCAAACGAAGCACAGTGTTCCCAAACATTTTTCCACATACCACCATAATGACCCTACATCACTTAAGTTTTGGGGTATAGAAAAGCATAAAGGAAACTGGAGAGGGAGTAATATGGTTAGGGACCTCAGTCAAAAAGAGTCAAAATGGATTTTTCTGATGAGAATGCAAGCCCCAAGAGGTTTGAATGTGGAATTCGACCTCAACAGTTTCATCAGTGATTTCTAGTCTATTTTAATAGTAATGTATGAGTAAATATGTTTTGATTTGTATATATATGCACCAAGCAGACATGTAAGGGTGATAATATAGACCCCCAAGTGGAGCTAATGATTGGATTTTAATACCAATATATAGGTATTGGAGTGGGGGGTAACATCTATGTATAGTTTTGGTACTAAAATTGTGTATTAAGAATTCATTTTATAATTTTAATTTTACATGTTTTTAAGCAATTATATAAAATGTGCTATATTAAGAGGCACTGTAAATTTGATTGTGACATCACACCATGGGTGACACTATGATCAGTGGCATCCAGTAATCAATCTTGTTTTAGGTATATGTGACATATTTATGTCACACTTATACATACCGTTTTAACTTGGTTTTATTCTTTTTTTTAATCTAATAAAGTGATTTTTGTTTTATTTTTGTAAAGGGGAATTACTTAAGCTTCTTCCCCCGTTTACAATACTGCAGAAGCTGACACATATTGGTAGAGGAATAGGTCACATTGGGTGCAGGATGTCCGCATATTAAGGAGAGGGTTAGGACTTCTATAATATGGCCGCTCGGACACCGCCCCCTTTGACTAATTAAGGGGCTGAGAGGAGATATAAACAGAGACCAGGCCCACAGTAGGCATATATCCTGAGGAAGTCACGTGTAACCAATCGTGACGTAACGCGTAGATATGCCAGTGGGAGGAGCCTAACGGACCGCGTGGTGGCGTCATATCCGGCGTCGGCGCCATCTTGGTGCACCTTGTGAGGCTCCACACAATTAGTACACCCATGGTGGGGTGAAATGCGGTTATTGAGCTGCACAAATGTGAATAGTACTTTGAGTGTGGTTTCTATTAAAAGTATGCAGTTTTACACTATGTTGGATCTCTTTGCCTTATGTGGGACATGTATGGAGAGGTGTTTGCACTAATATCTGGAGGTACTCGTTGGATATATACTGATCAGAGGAGGAAGTACCACCGTTATTGCTGAGGAGGTTTCCACGGTGTCTTGGGAGGATAACAAAAGAGGCATTTTATCTAGCTCAGTGGTCCTGAGGGGCCTGGGCAGGAAGGTGAGGGGGCACCCCTGTCACTGTGGATTCATTATCCAACTGGGAGCACTTGCATGAAGATTG